CATCTTAAAGAAAAAAAGAGAAAATATTAATCTTGTATATGTACGAGAATAAACATGTAAATTTAGGAGAATAAAAAAATGATGAAAGGAGAACCCCTAAAGCATTTTCCTCTGCCACAAAAGAGACAGTTTCATCCAAGTCAGTGTGGTTCTTTCTTTGGAAAATTACAGTTGCTTCCAGTATCTTTTCAGGGTCCTAATATTTTATGACAATGTGATGATGATGTGCTGATAAAACAACTTATCGGATATATTTGTCAAACTGTTTTTACAGACTACACAAGGAAGGAGCCTATTTCCTTATTTGTCAAACCTTTACTATAACAAGATGCTCCACGTTTATCATTTTCGAACAGGCGGCTCCTGCTCTTCTGATATACCAATATATTCTACTATTATATTATATAATATATTATATGTTCAAGTATTCAGCTGTTTTATGAAGGGAAATGTTTAAACTATTTAAGAAAATACTAAAGGGGACTTTGTCTCAATCATAAACAGTGTAGAGTATTTTAGTGTTTTTAGTTTTTTTATTTTTAGTCTCAAATGCAGCCTCAAAGGCTGATGTAGCTGCAACTAAACCTGAGATGAAAGATAATCCATTTATTGTTTTAAAATGAACCTGTATGAGCTTAAATATTAGATGTTTTAGTCTCTGTTTGTTTACCTATTAAATACTGAAGCTTCTAACTGAATCTTCTTGGTTTTAAGTATTTATTTTCACACATCTGAGATATGTTAAGTTGCAGCTGCTTACAAGACCCAACTTCCTCATTCATCTGCTTCAAAATAAAAGCACATGACATAGATGGTAATAAGGGACTTTTATTGTGAAAGACTTTCCGGAACTAAATGCGTTTATCACTCGGAGCTGCAGCGGCGATTGTAGTTGCGAAGGCTGTAGTGAGAAAGAGTACTCAGCCACTTCCTTGCCCAAGAGTTAGAGCCACAGCCAACTTATTTGAATCATCTTGGACTTAAGACAATGAGACATCAGTTTATAAACACCTTCAGCAGGTAGACCCACAGTAGTGGAGGTGCTTATCCGTGCTAGCTGAAGTGGCACCGAGCCAAGAAAAGGGTCTCTGTCTGTCTGTCTCTCTCTCTCTCTCTCTCTCTCTCTCTTTCTCTCTGTCTCTGTCTACGACTAGTGCTACTAGTGTGACTAGTGCTACTAGTGTGACTAGTGCTACTAGTACAACTAGTGTGACTAGTGCTACTAGTGTGACTAGTGCTACTAGTACAACTAGTGTGACTAGTGTGACTAGTGCTACTAGTACAACTAGTGTGACTAGTGTGACTAGTGCTACTAGTACAACTAGTGTGACTAGTGCTACTAGTACAACTAGTGTGACTAGTGTGACTAGTGCTACTAGTGCAACTAGTGTGACTAGTGCTACTAGTGTGACTAGTGCTACTAGTACAACTAGTGTGACTAGTGCTACTAGTGTGACTAGTGCTACTAGTACGACTAGTGCGACTAGTGTGACTAGTGCTACTAGTACGACTAGTACGACTAGTGTGACTAGTGGACTAGTGCTACTAGTACGACTAGTGTGACTAGTGTGACTAGTGCTACTAGTACGACTAGTGTGACTAGTGTGACTAGTGTGACTAGTACGACTAGTGTGACTAGTGCTACTAGTGCGACTAGTGCGACTAGTGTGACTAGTGCTACTAGTACGACTAGTGCTACTAGTGCAACTAGTACTGTAGACATTAGCAGTATATATACGTATAGCCCCATCTGTGGGGCATTTGCAAGTAGTACAATTTTTAACCTTCATTTTACATAATAAAATTACATTTTTAGGGCTCATTTATACATGGAGTAGAGCCATCTTAAAGAAAAAAAAAGAAAATATTTGAGATTAATCTTGTATATGTACGAGAATAAACATGTAGATTTAGGAGAATAAAGTCATAAATTTACGAAAATGTACATTCATAGAGAAGCCTTCCGCCTGCGCATAAATGATGAAAGGAGAACCCCTAAAGCATTTTCCTCTGCCACAAAAGTTACAGTTGCTTCCAGTATCTTTTCAGGGTCCTGATATTTTATTTGTGATGATGATATGCCGATAAAACAACTTATCGGATATATTTGTCCAACTGTTTCTACAGACTACACAAGGAAGGAGCCTATTTCCTTATTTGTTAAACCTTTACTATAACAAGATGCTCCACGTTTATCATTTTCGAACAGGCGGCTGCTGCTCTTCTGATATAGACTTAAACAAGAAATTAATCTCGTACATTTGACTTTATTCTCATAAATTAACTATTTGAATCTCTAAATTTTAGTTTTTTTCCTTTTACGTGGCCCTAATCTTGAATCCCTTTATTTTTCTTAGTTTACCGACTTTAGGCCAAATTAAAACGTATTAAGTACAAGAACATAAATTCTGTATCAAGTTCCAGTTGTTTTAAAGTCCATAATTTTATCTGATTAACTTTTTTCCTTTTTAAAAACAGCATGAATTTATATGAAATATTTACACATTCATTTTTAACTTACAATTGCACCTTGGGCATTTTTTTATCACTCTACTGACCTTAAGATGTACTCTTTCTTATGTTTTCTGTAAATACTGTCTTGATGGGATAAAAAAGGAAAAAGAAAATCATGAGAACAGTTCTAAAATGATCTTCTATCTTATTTTAAGTTTATAAAACAATTCTAACATTTAATATATATATAATTTTCATGTTTTACTCTCCATGGAAAGTAAGGAAGAAGCCGTTGCTTCACAGCACTTGCTCCTTCTTACAAAGGGTTAAATTTGTGGAAGGTGGAGGTCTATATGGAGAACCAATGATAAGGTTCAGAGAGTGCCCTGATCCCACCCACTCATTAGCATGTACTTCAACCAGTGTTTCTAGTACGCATTTTGGCTTTCACTAGTAGTACTAGTTAACATTTAAAACCGTAGTAGTTAACTAGTTATGCCAAAAAGAGTACTACTAGTGTAACTAGTGACATTTTGGCTCTTACTAGATAACTAGTTAACCATTTTGAGCCTCACTAGTTCACTAGTAGCACTAAAATGTCCTGAACTAGTGTTACTAGTTGGCTTTTTGCACTAACTAGTTAACTAGTGGACTTTAAGAGCCTCACTAGTAAACTAGTAAAATTTGTAACTGCATCACTAGTGATACTAGTGGACATTTGGGTCTTACTAGTTAACTAGTAAACATTTTGAACCTCACTAGTTTACAAGTAAGGTTAAAAAGAGTCAAACTAGCTTACTAGTGGACATTGTTGCTCTTACTAGTTAACTAGTAAACATTTTTAGGCTCACTAGTTAACTAGTAGACACAAAATATATCTTACTAGTTAACTAGTAGATATTTTGCACCTTACTAGTTAACATGTAGGACTTTTTGCCTTCTACTAGTTTACTAGTAAGTCTTTCAACGTTCTACTAGTAAACTAGTGCGGCCAAAGACTTGACTAGTACAGGAAACTGAGCTTTGATATCAAGGATATCTATTAAATCTTCAATCGGCTTTCCATAGAGTATAAGTATTACACAGAGGGAGGTACAGGAATGTCTGTGTTGCTGTGAGAGAGAAAGAAATATCTACTCAGGAGGTTTTCCGTTTTAACACCGAAAGTTTATTCAAAGCACTCTCCATTCAGTTTATTTCTTTATTTTAGGTTGATCATAAGTCCTCCTTGCCTGTGGACTTACACCCACCATGTATTAACTTGCCATACATATTTTTATTGTTCTAAAAATGTCTTCTTTTTTTTTTCCTTTTTTTTAATAATTTCATTTTTATAGAAAATTGTCATTTTTAAAGACTAAAAATGATTAATGGCAAAGATTGATTTTGGTAGAATTTTTGGGGATTTTTTTGTAAAACGGCTGCTTTGCTTTTTTTTAAGATGACAAGGTGAAGTATTCAGTTTTGCAAGCAGCTTTCAAAAACAGTAATCATTCAAAAGAAGTGATAAAAGTACACATGCAGAGGACATTTAGGGATTTTAAAAAGGCTCTCCTGCAACTATGAAAAAATTAGATTAAATAGAGTGCAGCTCTACAGAGCTCTGAGAAAATATAAAATGAATATACACCCAGGCTGATTCAAAGACTAAAACTAAAATCTTAATGCCTGGAATAAAAACTAAAGAATGATGTCAGTTTCCTTGCGAAACTGATGTAATCAGATTTACAGACTTAACAATAACATGGAGTCGTATTGCTTTGATATAAAAACACCAAGACATAAATAGCTGTGTGTCATCTGCATAGTGATTCTAACAGAGTTATTGTTATTAATTGAGCAGAGCCAACGCATTTCAAGATCAAGCAAGAGTGTTCCAAAGATCGACTCCTGTGGGACTCCAGTTGGCATGTCAAATTTATGATAGCTAAAAGTTTAAAATACATTTTTGCTGCTCAAATTATGATGATATCTAAGTTATAAGATGCTTTTCTCTTCCGTAATGTCTTTCTTGTTTTATGCAAAGAAAAAAAAAAGAAATTAAATCATAAAAATAGAATCATTATTATTATTAAACTGCAGCATAATACACATCCCTGTTTTCATAAAGATCGTCTAGTTTCATTTGGCCTTTTTTATGCCATGTTTCTGCTTTTTGATTGTGTTCATTAGAGTTGCAGTTCCCTTCACTGGAGGAACTGTTCCAGAAAAAGTTCCAACAGTCTAGCTGAAGTGCAACAGGCACACTCATCTGCAGACAGCAGTAACACAAAAAAGGAGAGCAATCTAAGTTGCTTTTGAGTTCATTTGTTCAACCAGGCATTCCAAGACATTCATGTTGTATGACTGAAGTTTTATTTTTTGAAGTTTTATAACTGGATTAAAAGATGAAGTATCTTTTCTTTGATTTGGAATATAACCTTGAGCAGAGATTATACAGTAGATCACCTTCAGCTCTTTGTAGAATCTAAAAATGGCATTTAATTACCAGATAATCTGACCCTTTATTCTCTCTCACTCTCTCTCTCACTGTCATGTATCTCCTTTCATTTTAGACCTACGAGAGACAGTGAAGATGATGAAGACGATGAGAGGAAGGGAAAAGGTTGCACCCTACAGGTATTATGAAACTGGATTTTCATATCATTCTAAAAATTAGTATCTTTAAATACTTTTCTTGAATGTCAACATGCCTTAAAAAGAGTATCGACCTGTCCTACTTCAGAATGCAGTGTGACTAACTGTATGTTATGTAACTCACAAGCTAACACACAGACATAAGAGCCCATCGTGTGGTTAAGTATTAGAGTCTAACATAACCGTTGTTTTGATCTCTCAGTACCAGTATGCCTTGGTGCGAGTCCTCACTCATTTTGTCGCAGAACCCTCTGACCCAGGAGGAGAGATGGTCTACATGTTAGGAGCAGACTGGCAGGCAGATATCACTCATTTGGTGTTGGATCAACTTAAGGTAGATGTACACAACTATTCTCACTTACTCACACAACCTGAAAAGGATTTAGTTTAACATTTTTTTTTTAATATACACACCCACAAGTGCCAGATGAATAGCTTAAAACGTCTTTAATGTCTAATGTTTAACTTCTAAAAGAAAAGTTATTTGTAAATAAAGTTTACTTACTTACTTAAATGGTAGTTTAAAAAGACAAGATAAATGCACAGAGTCTGAAGATCAGCTATGAACATATGAACAAACCTGAAGTGGATGCTTACAGATGTGTTTGTGTCCACAGGTGGAAGATCCTCGTATTGCACGACTGATAGACGGTCGAATCTTGATCGGACGTGACCTAGGGATCACAACTATACAGGTATGTACTCTCTCTTGGACTCTTGTCTTTCTACTAGTAATCCAGGCTGCTATCTTTAAGACTTCCTCCTCAAATTGTGAATAAAATGGAAAAAAAAATATCTTTAGTGTCACTTTTATTCGACTGAAACGTTAAGTTAAAAAAATGGAAGAAAGTTAGCACCAAAAGGAAAGAGACAGGTGAGGTAGTATTAGAAGCAAGTCCATCCAAGGAGGAAGTTGGACACATTTACTAAACACAAAGCATCCCAGAAAGAGGGCTGGAATTACATTTCAAAAATTCAGAAAAGGTGCTGTACGCTGACAATGTATTTATAACTTTCTAGACAACATATCTTGAGCAAGAAGGTTAGAAATGTATGATTATGTGAAGCAAGTGTAACTTGGCAACTCACATTACATCGAAAACCACTCCAGTGATGTAAACATTATCCTCTCTTTCTTCCTCTCCTGCCGCTATAAGCCTCGTCTGCAGGCTTGTTACACAGTTAGCCACAATTAACTGTCGGATTTGGCCCTGACATCTCAGTGTGATGTTCAGCAATTATACACAGACATACTTACTTTGGCACACAGTGAACACACTTGTGCTCTTGCTGAATTCCTATAAGCCGGTCCATTGTGAATAAAGTGACAGAGGAGGACAGTCCTGAAGCTTAATGTCTAATTTTGCTGGTTTACTGTTATAAACCAGAGCGGAGGCAAAACCTCCTTATATGTTAAATGACACACATTTTATGTAATTTTTTCCTATTATGTAAAATCACCATCTTTCATGTAACAAATAACTAAATATGTTTTATGAATCAGGATAAAATTTCATTTTAGGTTCTTGGTTTTGCATGATTGCTCTGAAAATTGTGTCGTGCGTGCATTAAAAGTGGTTTGGCATTGAGTGGAGTGCAGCAGTGGGAGGATATCTTGGGGATTTTAGGGAACAGCTGAGTGTGTGTTTGCATCCATTCGACTGGGGACTGCTGCATGCATGCACAGACACACACGCTCCTAGTTGCACGCATACAGAGACAGCTGTGCTCTGTTTGGGGAGCCAGGAGAGAGAATTTACCCAGCATTCCCATCGAGAAGCCAGAGCCGACAGCCGTCATTTGATAGTTTGACATTTCAATTTTACCCCCCGAGCTCCGTCTCCCCAAGCCACCCCCTCCCCGTCTCCCTCACCCTCCCTTTCCCAGACTCTCTCTTTCTCGCCCTCTTATTCTCAGCCTGTCTTGAAGAGCAATCCCAAAGCCGTCAATCATTGCATTTTGTTACCTCGCCGAGGGTGGGATTGAGTTTGATGCCCCAACACATTCACTGAGAGATTTTCTTTGTACACCAATCAGATCTGCCTGTCCTCCTGTCGCCGGGCGAAGTAGTATACTACAACAACGGGGATCCTAATCTCTATCACTGTCTGTCTGTATCCCCCCTCTCTCTGTCGGTTCCTCAATCTCTTTGGCGCTCCGTCTCTCTGCCCCTCTCACTTTCTGTCCTCCTCCATTTGTCATTGTCTCTCTCTTTGACACCCTCTTCATTTATTTTTCTCTTGTTCACTCGCTCTCACTTTCACTCACTCTCTTCTCCTTTCTTTCACTCTCTTTTACTCCTTCAGTTGTGGCCTTGTGCTTTTTTATGCTAAGTTGTCCTCGTTGAATGCTGACACACTGGAGCACAGCTGGGAGACAGATATGAACAATGTTGCCGTGTGTCACAATGTGTCCGATGTGAAATAAAAGGCACTGTGTTTTCAAGCCAATCTTTTCTCACACTTTTGGACACATTTTGGTCACACTTCTGTAGAATATGTAACTGTAACTTTTAACCAGCTCTCAGGACCTGCAGTGGCTCAGTTGGTAGAGTCGGTCGTCTCTCTCTTCAATACGCAGCTCCTGCAGCTACATGTCCAAAGTGTCCTTGGGCAAGACACTTCACCCCGAAGTTGTTCCTGCTGCTTTGACGGCGGCTTATGAATGTGTATGAATGGGATTAGTTACTTCTGATGGACACTTTACATTGCAACCTCTGCCATCAGTGTGTGAATGGGTATGAATGGGTAGGTGTGACCTGCGGTGTAAAAGCGCTTTGAGTAGTCAGAATACTAGAAAAGCGCTATACAAGCTAATTTACCATTTACTGTCACTGCTCCTCTGTCAATGTTACACACATGTCTGTCAGCTAAAGGCAGAAATCACTGAGACAAAAACATAAACTCTTACATGCAAGTATCTCCAGTCTTTACAAGTTTCCCATTCCCATTCCTGATTTCGTATTTCCAGGAACTAAAAAGTCGATGTTTTACCAGGAATTATTATCCTGCAACATTTTGACACACAAGCTGTCAGTCCTGTTAAACAACAAGCTTGTTATTAATGCGCTTTCTTTTTTTACTTGAGTTTTGCAGCAGCTGAAAACAGATCGTCAACGTGTATTTCTTTCCTGGAAAAGAACTAAGGCAGGGGATGTTAGAACAGGAAACATGTAGCTGTCATAGAGAGCGTATGTTTGGAGGAAATCCTAAGGAACTCACATTTTGGTTGCATTCGATTTGCCCATATGAAGGCACTTGTTACTATATTGGTGGATGGATAGGTAAGGAAGCTAACACTTGTATTTTAATGTTCTTTTAAATCTTTTCATTTGTTGTCTGATCTTTTTATTATAGGTTCTGTCCCCGCTGTCTGATTCTATCCTAGCAGAGAAGACTGTGACAGTGTTGGATGACAAGGTAAATATGTCATTATATAGGTTTTAGGTCCCTTAAATTGGAATTTATATGTAAACTTGTTGTTCTTAAAACACATGGTACAGATCTTAATCAGATCCTAATATTAGACATGCTTTGGGCTGTTTGGCCTTTCTTTTAGGGGGGTAGTAAAAGAAACCTGCACTGCTTACATGTTCAGACGACTGACCAATACTGTGTAAGGCCATAGTATGGCTTATGAGAGCAATTGAAGGGTTGTTTGTTTGATAAAGTTGCATTTTCAACTGGCAACTAGCATTTTCAACATATACTTATAATGCTTCATATCTTAATTTTTTTTTTTTTTACATTGAATTTCATTGGACACATGAACTTTGCACACAGTTCACAAAAAAATTCAACACAGTACCAGAAGTGATTAATCTCCTCAACCTTTAAAGTAATTTACTTTCAGTTCCGTTCTAAAGGAACAATCATTTTCTTGTCTATCAGACACTGAAATTGGGGCTGTTTGAAAGAGTGACCTACAGTATCTCCTGTTCATGTAGGTCACCATCGCAGATATGGGAGTGCAGCTGGTTGCTTCTCTGTCCCTCAGTATGACACCCAGTCCTGGAAACAATCAGGCTATACAGCTAACCACTACAGCTACAGACCTGCTACACACACCGAAACAGGTAGGAGGTACTACAGATACACACACACACACACACACACACACACACACACACACACACACACACACACACACACACACACACACACACACACGCATCTACGCACTTGTAAAAAAGCTCATGAAGTTAGAATTTCCTCCCAGGGTTGTACAAAGTAAATTGCTCATGCAGAAGTGTGATAAATCTATGAAGACACTTTGCTGCCTTTAGGTTTGATTGACTAAATTTACTGTAATCGGTTCCAATCTTTACAGTTATACCCCAAAGGTTGCAATTATAGGAGATCAACAGTAAGTCAGTGGTTTGAGCCTCATACTGTATCACTGCTATCTGTCCCATTATCGCTATCTAATTAGGAATGAGTCTCTTTGAGGCTTTAGCATTACTTAGTTACAGTAAAAACCACCTAAAGGTCTTCAGAAAAAAAAAAAAAATCACATGACTGTAAGAACCACAACCAGTGTTTCTGTTATTTTATTTGACAATGCTCACAAGACATCCTAGTGGTAACCACATTTTTCATATTAAACAAATTCTAATACTATTTTCTTCAAAAACTCACTGACAAAACCCCATAACAAAGCAATATTTATAGAAAAAAAATACTCACTTACACCAAACATCAAAGCTCACCATTACTTACATTATATATTACCAATGCTAATATTTTTTGGCTAAGATTTTACAAGCCATATTTGACTGTGATCAAATGACCAAGGGTTAATTCAACCCACCATATCATGGTATCATCCCTCTGTTTCCCTTCTCTATCCCGTCTTTCCCTTTTTTTGATTCAAACAAAACCACACCGCTATAATTTCTATCCGTGGGCAAACTGGGTGAGAAGAAGTTCATTACAGGAATAATACAGATCTGATCTCGCATTTTACTCACACATTAATTTTTTCTATCCATCTGTTTTCATACACACCATTTACCATTACCTGAGGAGAAATGATCAAATCAGAACAAGTAAAAAAAAAACAGACAACCAGAGGGAAAGAAGGGGTTAGAGGAGGCAAGAAAAAAAAGGACAATTTATATGAAAATAAATAGATGTTGATATGTCTGTGTTCTAATTATGGAAAGACAAACTTTTCATCAAGGGAAATTAGTTATACAGAGTTGTGTACAGATAAGCAAATAGAAAAAACATTCACTGGTGAACCCTGTTTTTATTTGTGGAAAAGCTGATGCAAAAAAAATATTTTCTTTTTTCTTTTTCAAAATCTAATCATCGCAAAAGAAGAGATAGAAAATGGAGAAGAACACAGGTTAAGTCAGGCGATCTGTGGACAAAAGAAGGTCGTTACAACTAAGACATTAATGTTAACATGTGCAACTAAGTGGATGAATGAATTGAAGTGTAAATGTCTCTCTTTGTCTCCTGCTCCACGAGTAACAACAAGCTATTTATTTCCATTGTGTTGAACATACAAGCTGCAGATTAATGCATAAAACATATTACACTGTCAAGCTACCAAGGCCAGCACCACAGTCGGTGTCCTTTTCCAGTGGAGAGAATGCTACACAGTACATAAACAGCTTCCTAACATACTCAACAATGGCCACCATGACTTTTTGGGTGCTGTTGCCCTTTTATTTTTTATTTTTGCCTTCATACTCTGCCATTTGCCAACACCAATGGATAACTTTATCTCATTGATTTTTGATCGTACATTTTACTCGTGTACTTGTTCCCTAAAGTATGTAAATATTCTTTCAAGAATGTGGCGACTAACTAGGAGTCCTTCCTCAGCGAAACAGATCCCTAAAGAAAAGTCCACAACTCAACACTGTAACCTGGAAAAGCTTAGAAGCCAACAAAGTAAAACTAAAGCTCTAGCGTTGCAGTAAAAAAACAGAGTGTAAAGCCACATGAGGAAGAGGATAAATAAATCCATCAAGTACAATAGGATGTACAAAGTATTGAATGCCAAACTCTAGACCGCAGCCCTAGCATAGGGACAAAAGGCCAGCAGAGCCCCCTACCACTGTCCAAAACACATTTATGTTGAATATAAGCAAGAATTGTAGCCATGCTCTGTTTTTGATTGTCTTTCAGGAGGCCGCTATCAGTGCATGGATACAGTACAGTGATGGTTCAGTGACTCCACTTGATGTGTACGATCCCAAGGACTTTCTACTCTCAGCTGTGTCATTGGATGAAAATGTTATCTCCATCAACAACCAGGTACTTAACCTGGAAGTTTTGTTTGTCAGTCCTATGGTGTGAGGCTTTGTAAGAGATACAGGAAAAAAATATGAAGGAAATTA